GCTATAAGTGGAGAGGGTAACAGGAGACAAACGGGAAAAGCCACACTATAAACGGGAGGACTACATAGGTTTGAGGAACTCCCTGCAAGAGGTTCAGTGGGACAGAGAACTTGTAGGAAAGTCGGTAAATGAAATGATGGAATTCGTAACAACAAAATGTAAGGAGGTAGAGGAAAGGTTTGTTCCCAATGGTAACAGAAATACTGGAAAGACCAGAACGAGCCCCTGGTTTACCCGACGGTGTAAGGAGGCAAAAACCAAGTGCAATAGAGCATGGAAAAAAGTACAGAAGGCAAAGAACACAGGAAAATAAGGAGATTAGTCGAAGAGCCGCCAGAAACGAGTATGCACAGGTAAGAAGGGAAGCCCAGCAACAGTATCAAAATAACATAGCATCGAAAGTCAAGTCAGACCCGAAACTGCTGTACAGCCACATCAGGAGGAAGACAACAGTCAAAGACCAGGTAATCAGGCTGAGGAAAGAAGGTGGGGAACTCACAAGTAACGATCACAAGGTATGCGAGGAGTCTGGACATCATCTCCCCATGGGTCCTTAGAGAAGGAGTAGGCCTGCTGAGTGTGCCACTAACCACAATCTTCAATACATCCCTTGAAACTGGGCAACTACCTGAGGTATGGAAGATGGGAAATGTAGTCCCCATATTTAAGAAAGGAGACAGAAACGAGGCACTAAACTACAGACCAGTAACTCTGACGTGAATAGTATGCAAAGTCATGGAGAAGATTATCAGGAGAGTGAAGGAGCTCCTGGAACGAAACACGATTATAAACAACAACCAGCACGGATTCATGGAAGGCAAATCCTGTGTCACAAACCTTCTGGAGTTTTATGACAAGGTAACAGAAGTAAGAAACGAGAGAGAGGGGTGGGTTGATTGCATTTTCCTGGACTGCAGGAAGGCCTTCGACACAGTTCCTCACAGGAGATTAGTGCAGAAGCTGGAGGATCAGGCACGTCTGACAGGAAGGGCACTGCAATGGATCAGAGAATACCTGACAGGGAGGCAACAACGGGTCATGATACGTTATGAGGTATCACAGTGGGCTCCTGTGACGAGCTGGGTACCACAGGGATCAGTCCAAGGACCAGTGCTATTTTTAATATATGTGAATGACATGGTGGAAAGGATAGACTCAGAAGTGTCCCTGTTCGCAGATGATGTGAAGCTAATGAGAAGGATTAAATCGGATGAGGATCAGGCAGGACTATAAAGAGACCTGGATAGGCTGGACACGTGGTCCAACAACTGACTTCTCGATCTCAGCCCTGCCAAATACAAAGTCATGAAGATTGGGGAAGGGCAAAGAAGACCGCAGACAGAGTATAGGCTAGGTGGACAAAGGCTGCAAACCTCACTCAAGGAGAGAGATCTTGGGGTGACCATAACACCGAGCATGTCTCCGGAGGCACACATCAACCAGATAACGGCTGCAGCATATGGGAGCCTGGCAAACCTGAGAATAGCGTTCCGATACCTTAGTAAAGAATCGTTCAAGACACTGTACACTGTGTACGTCAGGCCCATACAGGAGTATGCAGCACCAGTTTGGAACCCAAACCTGGTCAAGCACGTCAAGAAATTAGAGAAAGTACAAAGGTTTGCAACAAGGCTAGTTCCAGAGCTGAGGATAATGTCCTATGAAGAAAGGTTGAGGAAAATCGGACTGACGACACTGGAGGATAGGAGGGTCAGGGGGGACATGATAACAACATACAAAATACTGCGTGAAATAGGCAAGGTGGACAGAGACAGGATGTTCCAGAGAGGGAACACAGAAACAAGGGGTCGCAATTGGAAGCTGAAGACTCAGACGAGTCACAGGGATATTTGGAAGTATTTCTTCAGTCACAGAGTCGTCAGGAAGTGGAACAGCCTAGCAAGTTATGTAGTGGAGGCAGGAACCATACATAGCTTTAAGACGAGGTATGATAAACCTCAAGAAGCAGAGAGAGAGGACCTAGTAGCAATCAGTGAAGAGGCGGAACCAGGAGGTGAGTCTCGACCCCTGCAGCCACAATTAGGTGAGTACGCACACACACGCGAGTATTAGTGGCGTACATACATTAAGAAGTCCTCGCCCTTCCTTCCTGTAATGTGTATTGTATTATGGAAGAAAAAAAGATCCCATCTTTTGTGACTAGTTCCATCAACTAATAATTAACAACTAAGTTGTCTTGTATATTCATGAGTCTCAATAAACGGTTTACGGCCATTTTATTGAGACGATTTTTGTCCACCTGTTAATTTAATGTGTGTGTGTGTGTATATATATATAATATATATATATATATATATATATATATATATATATATATATATATATATATATATATATATATATATATATATACATATATACATACACACAGTGCAATATGCCGGGTGAGCACCCCGGCATAATGCCGTGACGAGAATCAAAGGCTTACCATATAAGGGGGTCTTTTTTCGTCAGCGCATTATGCCGGGTAGCAGCCGTTAGCACGACGTCACGTCCTGCCGCCACACTCCACAGTGACTCCTCAGTGCTCACGTGGCTGCCATGGTGAGAGGAAGTGTTGCGCTTTTGTCTCTCATCCACCCCATCTTTTGCCCGGTGTTTCCTTTAGTTTTTGGGCTATACATGTTTGATTATGGGTAAAAGGAAGTCTTTAACACCTGAAACTATAGTTCAAATCATAGGGCTTCACAAAGCTGGGCACCAGACAAAAGAAATAGTGGAGAATGTTGGTGTGTGTGAGCGTTCAGTGAGAGACTGGGTGCAGTGTTTCAAGGCTGGTGGCGGTGTTGAGTTACCGTCTGCCAAACCTCGGCCTGGCCCCTCGAAGAAGACATCTGTGTTAAAGAAACAGTTAGAGAGTACACCTAAGATAACTGCTAGAGAACTGAAAGACAAGAACCCACATCTTTTCTCAGGTGTCTGTAAGAACTGTTAACAGACGTGTGTCAGAACTGGGCTACAGTAGTCACCGCCAGGTTAAGAAACCGATCCTCTCCAAGCCACAGAAGAAACTTAAGCTGGATTATGCAAAGAAATATCTTCACTGGAATCCTCAACAGTGATCTGAAGTACTTTGGAGTGATGAAGCAACTTTCACTGTCACCTGTAACCGTGAGGGACATGAACCGGCCCAGAGATAGTGACCTGCTAGATCCAGGCTACACCTGTGGGACCACCAAAAACCCAGACTTGCTCATGGTTTGGGGGTGTTTCAGTGCTCACAGTGTTGGTGAACTCATTGTGCTTCACAAAAACCAGTATATGAACCAGTATAATTATCCGGAGTTATTGTGTGACAATTTACCTGAGGCGTTTGACAAGTGTGGGGCTACGGTGTTTATGAAGGACGATGCACCGTGCCATACCACCAAATCTGAAGTTCAGTGGCTTAAGGACTGTGAGGTGAGGTTCTGTAATGACTGGCCAGGTAATTCCCCAGACCTAAACCCTACTGAGAACTTCTGGAAAATAGTGAAACAAAGTTTACTGGGCAAGGATATCAGTTCCATCCTGCAGCTGGAGGCTGCTCTACATGAGGCATGAAATAATATACCTCCCCAAACCTTCAAGAATTTGTGTGAGACTCTTCCTACATTGCTGAGGGACGTAATTAAGCGTAAAGGACGCTGCACCAAGTATTTAAACCTCAGTAAGTGTGCAAATATATATATTACATCTTTCGTGGTATGTGTTTGTGTTTTGGTACGTGTGAGGGGGAGTGGCGGCATAATGCCGTGACTAGCACTATATATTCTGTGAGAATTGATAAAGTCCAGGGAGGACGAAACGTCCTCTTAATGTTTTGCCACAAACCGCGTATTGTCTCTTACTAACATACTTGTCAGTATTTAATATTTCTGAGATACATAGTGTGTCTGGTAAGATAAGAGACTAATAAGAGGTGTAGCTCTTTACTTCATACTCTTATGTGACTCTTAACTTGAGAGCAATATTTTTTTTTTTTTTTTACAAAATATATACAAGTAATCATCGGGAAGCGCTAAGAGCACATGGATTATACACCGCATAAAGAATGGGGAAGGTAGTTAAGTTGGATTTAAGGAAGGGGGAGGTTAGGTACGTTCCCTTGGATCAAGAGCCCCTGGCAGGCATCAAGGCACCGCTCTTGAGGGGAGGTCCTTGCATAATGAATGCTAATCATGAGTCACACTGTGTATGATGATGTGGTCTAGCCTAGCCTTGGTTCCTCAGATCCATCTGTCTTCAGTGATTAGAAAATATGATTAGAAATATCTCATATTACACCCTTTGATATAGAGATAGATGTGTGTGTGTTGATATTATTAAGCAGTGGGATATATCACAGATACTTTTGGAAAAAAATACTACTTTTCTTTTGTATTCGTCACTGATTTGAATGACAAAAAAAAAAAAAAAATTTTTTATGCTACTGAATTCTAGCATATTAGAATTTTATACCACGTAGTTTTTTCTACATTTTTCAAAGTTAGTAGCAGTAATTTTAAAATAATTGAACAATTATTGAAACCAGTGATTAATTATTTTACCCAAAGTTAAGCCATTTTTTCCCACATGATTCACTGTACGAGCGCCGGATTAAAGAAAAGGGTTGGGAGTCACCGGGCAGTAAGTCACTCTTAATCCGGCCTGTACTGTATCATTTAACCGGGATATAAACATGAAATAATGGTAAATAACTTAACTATAGAAGAGCTTAGTACTTCACTGTCATGGTAGGAAATGTACTTCATAACCATTGGTTATAAGTTCATGGAAATATTAGCTATAATGCCCAAATCATTAAGATCTTCGCATTACACTACTGACATCATTCATTTTATGCGTAAGTTGTAAGTTATAATTAAAGCTCAAACATTTTTTTTTTGTTATTTTTCATTATCTACAAACATCAGTAGTATCAAGCTCAACTGACATCATAGACCTTCAAGACAGGTCATACATTACCGACGCTAACAGACATCATTCCATCTTTGCAGCATCTGTGCCACTGGTGTGGGACTTACAGAGTTCAAAAGTTGGTAAGTTAGTAGAGAATGAGTCCCCAGACGACCCCCTAGTTTAGCTAATGATTGTGCGCCCGAATTCTATAACATTGTTGGAAGATTGGCAGAAACCTGACACACAGCAATTCAGAGACACGGGCAAAGCGAGAATTTGTTAAAAATGACGTTTCGCACTGCGACTTGATGAAGTTACTCGATAAAAATGTTCTCACTGAGCGAAACATCGTTTTTAGTGAGGGTTTGCTGTCTGTCTGTCTCTGTGAATTTCTCAAGTGTTGTTTAAAGATGCACACACTGTTCCTCATCATTATGTTCAACTCTGATTGTCAGTTGGTTGGTTCCTTTCTCCATTGTTTTGCTTTCAGAGACAACCAACTGCCATTCACAGTTGTCTTAACCTTATCTCCATGTTGCATAAACTCTAAGAATTCGGGCTCTGCTTACATTGCTTTAGAGTAGTATCTGGAAATGACTAAGTTATATTGGACTAAGCTCACCCCATCATCACATTTATACATATTTGGTTGGTAGGAGATAATGCTGGGTCATGAACTTTGCAGGATCAAAATTGTGTGGAAGAATAGAGATTCCTGATTAAATTCCTTAGGTCAGAAGTAAGATTGAGCTTCGAAAGTATTCTTTCTGAAATTTTTGATACTCGTGACTTTTATTAAGCTATGAATTCCCATAATTTTGTATATTTTTTGCTGAAATAGGCATATCTTATAGGTTAGCCTCGATGAAAAAAAAGCATAAAGTATTGTTGTATATATCAAAAAAAAATATTAAATTATACTTATCAGTTGAGTAAATAAATGCAGATCCTTGTTCGTTCATTTTAAACTTGGCTTTCTCCTAAAATCCACGTTCAATCATCTAAACCTTCCTTGTCCTCCTAGTCTGTTTCTTTGTGTACTGACGCCTTTACAATGTTTGTGGCACCTTTGTGATTCTCATCTTGATTGTTAGTCCAGACGGCGTTTGCAAAGTTTGTGTCAGATCAGGTTCACATCAACATACTTATAAAAGTTGTATATGTTTGGACACTAGGCATTAAATTTTGTAATTATTTACGTATTTTGTTTGAATAAATTACAGTACTTAGTTAACGCCGTTTAAATGTTCATCGCAACTTCGGTGTTGTTAGTGTTGCAAAGTTCCAGTGCTATAATTGTGTTTGTAATTGTCTGTTTATGTTAACAAAAGAAAGTGTTGATATCAGTATGCTGCTTTCTTATTAAAGCATTACACCTCTAGACTTGTTTTTACGCAAGTTTAACAACCATACTTGTATTACATTAATTAGAAGAGTTTTAGAAGAGGCTTTTGATCTCAGGTTAGAGAATCCTACTTGATAAAGAATGCCATTGACTCAAGAATTCAGTATACTATTTACTGACACTTTCTTTCTCTTGTGAGATGTCTGGGGGTGCAACGTCCTGTCAAAGTGACTGCTGTAATCTCACTACTTTTAACTTTAGCATTTTGTTTTCTCTTTCCCCCAAAGCCATTTTCCTTTGACAGGATGCTTACTAACCATTCAGTTCTTTTAATTAAATCTGTGCATTAATTTCAGGATTAAATGGGCCATAGGTATGTGGGTGAACATAACTGTTGACAGCATAGGACCCCTTTTCTTGCACTTGTAGGCTAAATAGAAATCTAATGCACAGACCTCTGTGATCTGTGGTTAAAAAAGGGACACTATGTACAGAGCAAACCTTGATGTACAGACAACATTTTGCTCTAAGTAGAGCAAAATGACTTGATGAATCTCTACTTAGAGCAAAAGATGGTAAAGATTTGTTTGGCACTTAGTGTCTCTTGCTATACTTGCTTTAGCTGGTATATCATTGGCCCTGTTAGTTATTATTGAATTGAGTTTATCATTTAATGAGTTTTGAGTGTTTAATTTTCAGAAGATAGTTTTAAGCATAGTAATATTGAGATTAAACTCTCATGAATACAGAACAACTTTTTTAAAGTTAATAGAAAGGGAAATAGCAGTTGCAATCATCTGGTTGTAAGAAATGTATCAACTTCAATATATTGAAGTTCAATGCTGAATATATAAGCAATTCTCCCCTAGAATTAAATGGGATACCAGGTATTTGTTTAATTGTGACTTTGGCTCTCTCTCAGCTCTAAGTGGATTCCATATCCATCGAGCCCTGACTTAGGTGGCTCTGTCCACCACCTGGTGCCTTGCATTTCCCAGACTGGTCCCAACCACAGGTTGTTCCCTACCCCAGGTGGCTGTATCCAACAGGCGCACTCTGCCCCTGGCGGACATTGTACCACCTACTTTGCGCCTCATAAGTGTTGCAATGTCTCCCCAGGTGCCAGTCAAGCTCAGCCAGTAAACGGCGCCTTGCCCTCCATGCCTTCCCCTACGATGCAGAATTTCAATATAGCTCCTCAGCCAGGGCCCAATAGCCAGCCAGGTGGGAGCGAGGGGGCTGTGTTTGCCAATGGCCTCCCTCAAACCTTTGCTGCACGTAAGAACTTTTCTAAAAACTTTCCACCAACAGTATCTCTATACATATGTTACTAGCCTGCTATATACAGATGCATTGCCAAGATTGACTTTTTTTTCTCCCTCTTTTGTTTTTGAAAGCTCGGCCTAATATATTATTTTTGAATTGTGACATAGCTTGTTGATTCCTGAGAAACAGAGACTGGAATATTTTCAAAGAAAATAGGACAGGAAAAATGTAGAGTGGATCAGATACCTAGTTCGTGAGCTGTAAGCTTATTTAATTGTAAGTTAAGACAAGTTCTGAAGAAAACATACAGAGGCACACGCACACACGCACTCATTCACTTGCATACTGAGAAAAAGAAATATGTATTAAAAAAGAATATTAAAATACACCTCTTTAGAAACAGTGGTTGACTGCTAAAATTGGATCCAAAAAAAGAAAGAATTTTATTTGGATGATTAATAATCAACACAGGATAACCCAAGAAAGCCAAGTATTGTAACTTATTTCTAGAAAGACCCTCTGTCCTCTTCCTCCAGGGACGACAGCAAGTATTCGGCTAACACCCAGAAACATATCTAATTACTGTTAGGTGAACAGGGACAGCAGGAGCAGGGAAACACCGCAGACAGTTTCAACTTGCCGATGACCAGACGCAGGTCCTTCACAACCAACCACTGACCACACAAGAGGTGGTTCTTCCTCTGTTAGATAAGACAATTGTGTACAGTTTAAGATATTTCTTAAAGGAAGGTTTGGCTCTGAGTGGCTTTACTATGTGGCTTTGAAACTACGTAAGTAATAACGAGTACATTATCTCTCGTTCACACACAGGGTAGACAGTACGTTATCTCTCGCTAACACACAGGGTAGACAGTACATTATCTCTCGCTCACACACAGGGTAGACAGTACGTTATCTCTCGCTCACACACAGGGTAGACAGTACGTTATCTCTCGCTCACACTCAGGGTAGACTACGTTATCTCTCGCTCACACACAGGGTAGACAGTACGTTATCTCTCGCTCACACACAGGGTAGACAGTACATTATCTCTCGCTCACACACAGGGTAGACAGTACATTATCTCTCGCTCACACAGGGTAGAAAGTACATTATCTCTCGCTCACACACAGGGTAGACAGTACATTATCTCTCGCTCACGCACACAGGGTAGACAGAACATTATCTCTCGCTCACACACAGGGTAGACAGACATTATCTCTCGCTCACACACAGGGTAGACAGTACATTATCTCTCGCTCACACACAGGGTAGACAGTACATTATCTCTCGCTACACACAGGGTAGACAGTACATTATCTCTCGCTCACACACAGGGTAGACAGTACATTATCTCTCGCTCACACACAGGGTAGACAGTACATTATCTCTCGCTCACACACAGGGTAGACAGTACATTATCTCTCGCTCACGCACACAGGGTAGACAGAACATTATCTCTCGCTCACACACAGGGTAGACAGTACATTATCTCTCGCTCACACACAGGGTAGACAGTACATTATCTCTCGCTCACACAGGGTAGACAGTAACATTATCTCTCGCTCACACACAGGGTAGACAGTACATTATCTCTCGCTCACACACAGGGTAGACAGTACATTATCTCTCGCTCACACAGGGTAGACAGTACATTATCTCTCGCTCACACACAGGGTAGACAGTACATTATCTCTCGCTCACACACAGGGTAGACAGTACATTATCTCTCGCTCACGCACACAGGGTAGACAGAACATTATCTCTCGCTCACACACAGGGTAGACAGTACATTATCTCTCGCTCACACACAGGGTAGACAGTACATTATCTCTCGCTCACACACAGGGTAGACAGTACATTATCTCTCGCTCACACACAGGGTAGACAGTACATTATCTCTCGCTCACACACAGGGTAGACAGTACATTATCTCTCGCTCACACACAGGGTAGACAGTACATTATCTCTCGCTCACACACAGGGTAGACAGTACATTATCTCTCGCTCACCACACAGGGTAGACAGAACATATCTCTCGCTCACACACAGGGTAGACAGTACATTATCTCTCGCTCACACACAGGGTAGACAGTACATTATCTCTCGCTCACACAGGGTAGACAGTACATTATCTCTCGCTCACACACAGGGTAGACAGTACATTATCTCTCGCTCACACACAGGGTAGACAGTACATTATCTCTCGCTCACACAGGGTAGACAGTACATTATCTCTCGCTCACACACAGGGTAGACAGTACATTATCTCTCGCTCACACACAGGGTAGACAGTACATTATCTCTCGCTCACACACAGGGTAGACAGTACATTATCTCTCGCTCACGCACACAGGGTAGACAGAACATTATCTCTCGCTCACACACAGGGTAGACAGTACATTATCTCTCGCTCACACACAGGGTAGACAGTACATTATCTCTCGCTCACATACAGGGTAGACAGTACATTATCTCTCGCTCACACACAGGGTAGACAGTACATTATCTCTCGCTCACACACAGGGTAGACAGTACATTATCTCTCGCTCACACACACAGGGTAGACAGTACATTATCTCTCGCTCACACACAGGGTAGACAGTACATTATCTCTCGCTCACACACAGGGTAGACAGTACATTATCTCTCGCTCACACACAGGGTAGACAGTACATTATCTCTCGCTCACACACAGGGTAGACAGTACATTATCTCTCGCTCACGCACACAGGGTAGACAGAACATTATCTCTCGCTCACACACAGGGTAGACAGTACATTATCTCTCGCTCACACACGGGTAGACAGTACATTATCTCTCGCTCACAACAGGGTAGACAGTACATTATCTCTCGCTCACACACAGGGTAGACAGTACATTATCTCTCGCTCACACACAGGGTAGACAGTACATTATCTCTCGCTCACACACAGGGTAGACAGTACATTATCTCTCGCTCACACACAGGGTAGACAGTACATTATCTCTCGCTCACACACAGGGTAGACAGTACATTATCTCTCGCTCACACACAGGGTAGACAGTACATTATCTCTCGCTCACACACAGGGTAAACTGGGAGAGCAAACATTATCTCTCGCTCACACACAGGGTAAACTGGGAGAGAAAAAATCCGTAGTTATGCATAGCATTTTGGACTAATAGTAATGGCAATAATAATAGTTACTGGATAATATTTGTAAGTGCAATATATACTAAACTTCATTTCATTTTGAAAAGGATTAAAAAGACAATAAAAAAATGATATAATGATCACAGGTATTAAAAATAAAAAAATAAGGAAGATGGTGAAATTTATGACACAGATGTAAAAGTTTAATGACAATAAGAGAGTGACATCAGATATTTTGTTTAAGGAACAACATTAAGCACCGAAAAAAAAAAGTTTTTGTTTGAATTCAGTAAGTTATAATTTTGAGATTCATTTGGGTAGTTATTCCCTTTACGAAAATCAGAAATCATAATTAATAAAGAGCTTGATTTTGATTTTATAAGTCTTGCCAGAGGAGATAAAAATTATGTGAGTGTACAATAAATCCCTTCAAAATAAAACTGGCAAAAGTTATTAAATACATCGACAGACAGGTGGTGGAATTTATTGTCGACAAATGTCAAGTAATAAAAATGACAAAAAAAAAAAGATAGCATACCACCTGCATATTATAAGAAATAAAATATAGAAGAGGCAGAAAGAGGCACCTAGGGGCACTTATGGACAAAAATATTGTCTCCGGATCATACAAGTAAATTAATGAGAAATAAACTCTCTTATCTGCCAGACTTCACAGTTGCCTTCAGATATAAGGAGAGACGTGTTTAAAAACTGCATACACTGTGTGTTATTCCAAAATCTACTAAACCACTGCTATATACAACTCTCACAGAATTTGTACAGAAAAGAAACAGATGGCAGACTGCATCTATTTTAATTTTAAAAGTAATTATAATAATTATTATTATTGGGATTTTATAATTTCTGAGTGCCAGTTCTTTTGAAAAATTCACACACACTGTCTCACATCAAATTACAAATATTGTACAATAAAAAAAAATGCTAAAGTTTATATTGAAGAATGAGAATACCATCACCAGAAACATCAACTCGAAAAAAGAAACGTCTTCAACCGAGACTTGAAAGCATAAACAGATTCATGACTTAAATACTGGTAACCTCTTATACAGTCTGGCCCCTCAAGGGAGGTTCCTTGATGCTGGTAAGGGGCTCTTGATCTAGGGAATTGATCTATGCTCCGGCTTCCTGAATTGAGCCTGAATACCTTCTATCTCCCCCCCACACATGCGCTGTATAATTCTAGGGTTTAGCGTAGGGTTTTGAGTACGAGGCTCAGAAACATTCCAGAGTCTGATGTAAAAATAACAAGCACATCAGTAAAATACTTTGGAACTTAATACCTTGAAATATTAACAAACATTGTTTAAATTCAATTCTTGTGCTGATAAAGAGCCAGTGCGGCTGACACAAGTAGGGACTAGCGGGAACTCCAGGTGGGAGCATAAAAATACCAATATAGCTGAATGGTTCAGTTCAGACTGAAGTATTTTATGCAAGTAATTCGACAAATCCACAAACAAACGACAGCAAAAAAATCAACTCGAGAGGAAACAAACACGAAGATGAGGACGAAGACACACTGAATCATGATTCTGTCCAAATGCAGATCGTGAATATGAATGATAATTGCGACATTTAATTATCTGCTTTTGATAACCTACCAAAGCAAAAATAGCAACAAGTGGATTACATAGTTAAAGTCCAAAAACGTGCAACAAAATGGCTGCCAAAGATGTGACGCGCCGACCAAGAATGATGAAAAACAATGTTCTTGTTAGTTCACAAGAGAGAAGATCATGAATAAAATCATTAAAGAATGATAACATAGATAAAAGATGGTTTCTTGGCAGAAACAACAGGGAAAAATAAGAGACTATAATTTTGAAGTGAGGAAGGATTATTAGGTTATGGGATCTAAGAGGAAGGTAGTGTGTGCTACACCAGTGGAATGGGATCCAAGAAGGATGTAGCACATGCTTCTACCACTTGAATGCGATCCAGGAAAGAGGTAGTTCATGCTACAACCATTGGAATGGAATTTAAGAGGACGCCAATGACTGCTACAACCACTAGAATGGGTTCAAGAGGTGTTCCTGTGCGCTAAGTCCTTGGGAGGCATATACAGTTTAATGACAGAATCCACACTTGAAGCAGCGACACCAAAACAATATCTCTACTCCTATAAACAGCAACTCTTCTCTTATAAACACTAACTCTACTCCTGTAAACAAAGCTAAGCACAGTATTTGCGATACGAAATCATTTGCACTCGTGAAACGCATCACTGCACACTTTACTGGACTTAATACTGAGGACAGGACACAATGAACTCTATTGTACCTACAAACACTGAAGACATGACACAACCATTATACCTACAAACACTGAAGACATGACACAACCATTATACCTACAAACACTGAAGACATGACACAACCATTATACCTACAAACACTGAAGACATGACACAACACTTTATACCTACAAACACTGAAGACATGACACAACCAATATTACCTACAAACACTGAAGACATGACACAACCATTATACCTACAAACACTGAAGACATGACACAACATTATACCTACAAACACTGAAGACATGACACAACGAACTATTATACCTATAACACTTAAGACATGACACAACGAACTATTGTACCTATAAACACTGAAGACATGACACAACCAACTATTGTACCTACAAACACTGAAGATATGACACAACCAACTATTGTACCTACAAACACTGAAGACATGACTTAACCAACTATTGTACCTACAAACACTGAAGCCATGACACAATGAACTATTGTACCTACAAACACTGAAGACATGACACAACGAACTATTGTATCTACAAACACTGAAGACATGACACAACGAACTATTGTATCTACAAACACTGAAGACATGACACAACCAACTATTGTACCTACAAACACTGAAGACATGACACAACCAACTATTGTACCTACAAACACTGAAGACATGACACGACCAACTATTGTACCTACAAACACTGAAGACATGACACAACCAACTATTGTACCTACAAACACTGAAGACATGACATAACCAACTATTGTACCTACAAACACTGAAGACATGACACAACCAACTATTGTACCTACAAACACTGAAGACATGACACAACCAACTATTGTACCTACAAACACTGAAGACATGACATAACCAACTATTGTACCTACAAACACTGAAGACATGACACAACCAACTATTGTACCTACAAACACTGAAGACATGACACAACCAACTATTGTACCTACAAACACTGAAGACATGACATAACCAACTATTGTACCTACAAACACTGAAGACATGACACAACCAACTATTGTACCTACAAACACTGAAGACATGACACAACCAACTATTGTACCTACAAACACTGAAGACATGACACAATGAACTATTGTACCTACAAATACTGAAGATATGACACAACCAACTATTGTACCTACAAACACTGAAGACATGACATAACCAACTACTGTACCTACAAACACTGAAGACATGACACAATGAACTATTGTACCTACAAACACTGAAGACATGACACAACCAACTATTGTACCTACAAACAATGAAGACATGACATAACCAACTACTGTACCTACAAACACTGAAGACATGACACAATGAACTACTGTACCTACAAACACTGAAGACATGACACAACCAACTATTGTACCTACAAACACTGAAGACATGACACAATGAACTATTGTACCTACAAACACTGAAGACATGACACAACCAACTATTGTACCTACAAACACTGAAGACATGACACAATGAACTATTGTACCTACAAACACTGAAGACATGACACTAATTCGACTCTGCTACAGTAGCTACGAACAGACGAGTACAACTGAAGAGGGATTATGGAACTGAGGATGAAGCCTCTACTGTTCCTTACGCTGAATGACCTATGTGTGTTTAGCGCTTCATATACTACATTATTATTATTATTATTATTATTATTATTATTGTAGGTACGAATAGGTAATTACAAATGTGTAATCATGCATGCATACATGCATAAATGAGCTGCATACGTTTGAGCATGAGCATTAATGTATGCCAGTGTATGCACACACACACACACACACACACACACACACACACACACACACACACACACACACACACACACACACACACACACACACACACATGTACCATTTAATTAACATACTGTACTTCAAAATACAGAAGCCTTTCGATGTAATTTATAGTACAGTAATGCACAAACACTTGGCAAAAGAAAAGTATCATATTACTATTGCTATATTTTGATAAAAAGGCTGTTTATATTTTTTCGTTTATGGAATTTGGTTGTGTGCATGGGTAATTTTACTGCTAATTTTTTTTAAGTGCACAACATGCTAAGTAATTTAGAGATAAATACAAATCTTAATATCTTTAGGATATTTAAAATGAACAGTTTAAGTAGATTATTTTTGTAATCAATATTAATTTCTAATCCTAAATTTCTTCTTGTTTTTGTCGCCATGTCTTAACACTTATAAAGTAGAGTTATTTTTAGAGAACGATAGATACTGTACTTAACAATCAACATGGAATCGTGCTGAGCCTAAAGTAATTACTTGCAGGAACAAAAACCACAGCATTCTGCCATATATATATATATATATATATATATATATATATATATATATATATATATATATATATATATATATATATATATATATAGGTCTTTTGAAAGTTTAATTATTTTTTTTTTTGCATAGATTTTGCGTGATTTTTGTTCTGTAGAAGTTTTAAGCTTGATATCCCTCTCTTCTTCCACTTTTTGTCCATTAGAACATTAGTTCCTTGCTAGATAGGATTTCTTATACATTACTAATATGTAGTGAAAGAACTGAAGCTTGTTTGGGGAAAAGATGCTTGGATCCACTTGGCATACAGCCGAAACAGTGAAGAAAAGGGACACATTACAGAACACGCTCTCAATGGGACAACGTTTTGCTCTGTGTAGAGCTTTATCAAGTAATAATAACATTTGATAAAGCTCTAGAGAGAGAGTAAAACGTCGCAATGAAAGTTCGTCTTGCAATGTGTGTCTTTCCTACACATAAGATGCTTGCAATTCTCATCCTAGGCGAAGGTTGTGTCTAAATTGCTCGCTGGTGTGTAGCTCTGGCTTAGCTTCTGCTAGGAAGCATTACTGTCTATTTTGTACCAGTCATCCATTATATGTTAGCTTATATGTCATCATATGCTTCTTTCTTACTTGTCTCTTAACCTTCTTTTATTGTTCTCATCCATATTTTACTCCTTAGACATTTCGTATGTTGATATGGTTTTCCGTTTGTAATGTGGATACATGTTTTACCATATCAGTTTTTTTATGATTGTATTTCAATAACTTAAAACACATTTCAAGATATATTTAAATATATTTTTTTTATATTCTTTAGGTAATATAAATGTTCAAATATCGAATTAATATAAATCATTATAGTTAGTGCTACTCCGTTTTAGGTACAGTGTACATTTTAATATAGGAATCTATATAATTTATATTGCAGACAATTTTGCCACTTTAAATTTGTACATATTTCTGAAATCAACTATTGTGACATATCTTAAATTTATCGTAAATGATAAAGTAGCACATAAGATGGTAGTACATGTACATGTGCGCCCAAACTGCTTCGCATAACATCCAGACTTCCTTTATATATTGTACAAAAAAAAAAACGTTATCCCTCAAACAAATCTTCTCACTGTCAAACTGATTTTCATTGAGGCTAAACAAGCTATATTTGGTTTATGATGTTTCGTATTTGTGACAATTTTCTGTTATGCTAGTAATAGCCAGATAGTTATTTTAAACAATAGCCTCCAAAGCGCGATAAAGTAGGAAAGTAATAAGAAGGGTAAATTATTTTCTTGTGAGGAAAACTCTATTTATTTTCATATTTTTTTAGTCATATTATGTGTCAAAAAAATGGTAAATGGAAAGACAAAAAAAAAAAAACTTAAGTCACTGTCTGATACTTATAAGACTTAGATTAAGCTGTTAGTGGAAGACGACGCTGACTGTCAGCAAATGTTAAGTGTTTCAGTGTATTAATAGCTTCATACAGAGTATAAGAAAAATATTTTTGCCGTACATTATACGACATACGCTGACAAAAAAAAATACCTTCTATAATATCCACCTAACATTTCTCAGAGTACGCTAAAAGCTTGTGAAGTGTTTAGCGCGTACGTCTAACCTTGACACTTCACTCCAACAGCCCAGCCAATCCCTAATGGTGAAGCAGCGACACTGCAAGCTTCAGCAACCTATCCTGGCATGCCTTACTCAGGTGTTGGTAAGTACTTCCTTTAACTACTTGAAGTTTTTCTATGTTTACAATGCAGTCCTGATCATTTTTTTTATGTCGATGTTGTTTTTAGGATATGGATTTTGTCCGGTATCTGATGGTATATTTTTTGTATAGAGAAGTTTAGATTTTTTTATATTATCAAAAAATTTTTATTGGTGTATTAAATTCAGTACAATACTAATAATTCTTCAGAAAATAGTTATAATTTTTTTGACATGCTATCAGATATCTTTTAGTAATGGGAGAAGTACGCTGCAGCTCCCATAATTCTTAGTAATACATATATATTTAAATTGTTTGATATTCTTTCCCTATGCTTTTTGTGTGGCTTTGTTGTTCACTTACAAAATTATTGTATTTTTTTGCATGCTTTCTATATATTTTGGTTGGTGTTCACCCCCTGTGTGGCCTCTTGTTCAAAATCTTGTTCAGTGCTGGAATTATCAGCAAGTCGCCTTCCATTCATACTCCACCCTCAACCTCCTCACTAAAAGCTTCTTAGATGTTGGCAGAATTTACTTTAAAAATGTTAAAACTGTTTCTTGTTTATTAAATATTTGCTATACTCACACAGACACATATACATAGATACACACATAAATACACACACCACACACATGCATACACAGACACACACGCATACACAGACACATACACGCATATACAGACACACACACACGCATACACAGACACACACACATGAACGTATACACAGACACACACACACGTATACACAGACACACATAACACAGACACACACAGCATACACAGACACAACACACACACACACAGCATACACACACACACACACACACACACACACACACACAACACACACACAAACACACACAACACACACACACACACACACACACACCACACCACACACACGCACACACTACGCGCACACACCGCACACACCACACATACACACACACACACACACACACACACACACACACACACACACACACACACACCACACACACGCAACACACGCACACATACCGACGACACACACACACACACACACACACACACACACACACACACACACACACACACACACACACACACACACAACACAACACAACACCACGCACAACTACGGCACACTAGCACACGTAACACAACAACACACACACACAACACACACACACACACACACACACACACACACAGCATACACGCACACGCAACCACAAACACACAACACACACACACACACACACACACACACACACACACACACACACACACACACACACACACATGCCTGTAGCACAGATGCCCAAGACACATCCTCATAATGCAGGGTATAACATCAGTATAACATACAGGTTTATCAAACACATTGATAGTTTACGGTAAAAAAAAATCTGAGGCTGGACACCACCACCATAACTCTGCTCCTGAACCTACAAATAAGAAATAGATAATTGAAACTAGGAATGCATAGGACCTGTGACTCAACTCCTGCAACCACACACACACACACACACACACACACACACAACACACACACACCACACACACACACACACACACACACAACACACCCACACACACACACACACACACACCTACACACACACAAGCATTTCCTACATGTGTAAGACATTAAACACAAACTTGTAGCGTGTGTGCATAAAAGCTAATACCTTGGATACATACAGATTAATGCCCTAAATAACATATTGAAAAACGGTGGTTATTGAATAAAACCAATGATGAGGCTACTAACAAAAACAAGAAAAGAAACAGACAAACTAAAGATGACACCTTCGATCTGCAAGGCATCAACACATGGGTTACCCATTGTGGAAAAATACTTTTCCCTTTTCTACGAGAAATGATGCACATTCTGCTCATACTTAAAAAAAAAATGACGGGTGAGAACCTTTGAAGTATAGGGCAGTCTTGTTGACGAGAGTTGTGAAAATATTGGAAAATGCATTTGAGAAAAGCTGATAAAACAGACGTTGATAAGGGGTAAAATGTCCTCTTGGGACAATATGACCAGCGGAGTGCAGCAAGGATTAGTACTTGTCAAATAATGGCCCAGAAGGAATAAAAACTACATGGGTATGTTTGCTGACTCAAAAATTTTATGTAAAAATAAGCAATAAAAATTACTATATCTTTCCACGAAGGTGTTGATAAGTCGAGCAACTGAGGTGACAGATGGTGGAATTTAATGTGAACAATAGTTCTGCTGTAATAGAAACAACAAAATGCAAAAAAAAAAATAATAATAATAAATAAATAAAGGAAAAAAGAGTATACATGGATTATGGAAAACAATATTTACTGTACTGGAAGATATTCTAAAATAATCGTCAAAAAAATATTCGCAAGCTTCTCTGGCAAACTTTAAAATGCCTTTAGTAATACAAAGGTAATCTTTCTATTAAACATAAATAGAAGTTACCGTAGTTAGATATATATATTTGGTTACAGTTTTAATAATTATGACACAAATATAATTTGATATAAATGTATTTACAAAATAAAGTCGATAATTATACAAAGTATTTCAGGCAAATTAATCCTAGAACTTTCATAATACTTAATTCTAGTCAGATAGCAGAGTAAGATAGCAAAGATAGTACAATGAAAAAAGGACACAAATGCAGTGTAATACGACTCTTTATTGACTACATTTCGCCCACACAATGGGTTTTATCAAGTCACAAACAGATCTATTTGTGACTTGATGAAGCCCATTGTGTGGGCGAAACGTTGTCAATAAAGGATCGCATTATGCAGTAAGTCCTCACTTAACGTCGTAGATAGGTTCTTGGAAACTGCAGCTTTAAGCGAAACGACGTGTAAAGAAACCAGTTTTACCATAGGCTAATAGATGTAAACATTGGCTCACATTGCACCTTTAGCACTCATTCCAACAGTGTTAAATCAAAGAATAAATGTCTGTAAAGCGAAAACTGTAAGAAGCGCCACCTCCCAGCAGGCAGCTCAACAACGAACGTGCAGAATTAAGACACTCATGTAACATATGGGAATCTTTATCTTTGTCTTCAGTAAAGATTCCCATATGTTGCATAAGTGTCTCAATTCTTCAAGCTGTCGGGTTTCACAACCATTTATCACAACGAACGTGCAAACTCCATAAAGACAGTAGTCCCGGCTAGGAATCAATTTTTTTCCCCTCAACGTTATAACGAAACAATGTTAAGTGAGAACTTACTGTAATGCATTTGTGCCTATTTTTCCATCGTGTCGATATTTTTTACCATTTATCTCCCAGATAGCATAGTGCTGAATGAGCGGAATGTTTAAAAATATTGTTCACAACGTATGTTAAACCAAAACTGAAATAAGTGGCAGTGGTCTCGGCACTGTAATCACTGCTTAAGCAAAAAAATAAGTTGGAAGCTACAAACTGATTTCTGGAGCTAAAAGAAAATAGTAGCAAAGAAAGGCTAAAAACATTACATTAAATCCACCTTGTCAGAAAAGAGAAATAGACGGTGAATTAAAACCATATGTAAGATTATGGAAACATGAACGAATAAATATGGATTTTTTTTAATCATCACCAGGAAGAAAGAAGATTCATGGTTATAAACTGAGGAAGAAGAAAGTCTATAAGAAACCTATAAAAAATCACCAGTTGGTAGAGAGTAATATGATACAAAAGAAGTTGTGAATAAACGGTTTAGAAAAACAACAAGTTGCTGAATTAGACAATTGTGCAACATCTGGGTATCTTTATTCTGGAAACGTCTCGCCACGCAGTAGCTTCTTCAGTCCAATGCGTGGCGAAACGTTCCCAGAATAAAGAAACCAGATGTCTCACAAGCGTCTCATTTAACAAGAGGAAATAGCAAGTGCAACAACCTATAGAAATATTGTTCTTGTATCCTGTGTGCTGACTGAATTAAACTTCAGGACGTCACCGACATTGTTCTGCTCCTCTAGCTACAAATAAATCATTACAATGTATATGATACACACACACAAAACACAAACACAAAGCACACACACAAAACACATGCAAAACACACGAAAACATAACAAATGAGTATGACACAACTCACTTCATGGGTAAACATCGTCATTGGGATCCAACAAGGACCAGTACTTGCTCTCATAATATATTTTACTTATATGAATGAAAACAAAGTGTGGGTGTAAATATTGTGCAGAGAATTCAGAGAATGGAGATTAGAAAATTGTGCTGGATTAACAGAATTGTTAATTCAGGAGAGTGAGGAGTGATTGTTGATGTTTGATTATTTCGAGAGGATGGAAAAAATTAAGATCACTGAGAGAGAATATATATATCTGGTGTGAAAGAAACGAGGGGGAGGGGTTGTCAAAGGAAGGGTTGTTTCAGGAAAGGTTGTCCCAGAAAGAGTTATCCAAGAAATGGTTGTTCCAGGATGGGTTGCCACAGGAAGGGTTCTCCCAGGAAGAGTTTTCCCAGAAAGAGTTCTCTCAGAATGGGTTGTCCCAGGATGGGTTGTCCCAAGAAGAGTTGTTCCAGAAAAAGTTGCCCCAGGATGGGTTGTCCCAGTAAGGGTTGTCCCAGGAAAGGTTGCAGGGAAGCGGTAAAGGAGGTTTCGAGTATTATAGGCTTGAACATCCAACAAGCTTGTGTAAGCATGTTAGATCGGAGTGGAGACAAGTAGTTATGACTTGACGTGCTGTTGGAGTGTGAACAAAGAAATATTTATGAAGGGATTCTTGGAAACCAGTTAGCCTTACTTGAGTCCTGGAGGTGGAAAGTATAGTGCCAGCACTCTGAAGGAGGAGTGAGGATACTGCAGTTCAAAGGATCATCCAAATACACTTGTCAGCACATTTCTGGCAAGACAGCAATTGAATGAATGATGGTGAATGTGTGTGTCTTATTAAATCACCCTACCACGTGGGAGACTAGCGTGCTAAAAAATACAACAATTAAAGGATCAGAATGGGACGCCATGGACATTGTTCCACTCCTGCAGCTGCAAATAAATCATTACAAATAGGTATTCAAATCAGAAGGCATCACGCATATTATGTATACGAACAGGCACAATCACCTACAAAAGCATTATTCGTAATAATATACATGTACACTGCGCACACAAATCACCTCGTGTGGAAATGCCATCAGAGGCGTCTAGCAAGGTTAGGTTAGCCGAGATTCGTCAGGAAACAGAACACGTATTTGCTGACGCGGATCTTAGTCATATGATGACCAACAGCTACAGTTCTTGGTCACCCGACTGAGTATATCTAAGAAGGATTAATACTTGCCGATAATATATATATTTATAAAAGATTTGCTGGGATTAAAGTGCAAAATTCGTATGCTAGATAAATAAAAAAAAATCTGTAAATTCGTGCAAGTAAATGAAGTTTAGATATAGGTGATGGAATATAATGTATATTTGGTGCCATGGAATGAAAACTGGGAAAATAAAAAACCGGTCATGTGAAGAATATAGATTATGTGATAAAATGTGGAAAGTGATAGAAAAGGGAACCTGAGTGCAATATAAAGCTAAACATCACCAGAACTTAACATAAATAAAGAACACCGGTGAGGAATTCACACGGCACAAGGCACACGGCACACGGCACACGGCACACGGCACACGGCACACGGCACACGGCACACGGCACACGGCACGCGGCACGCGGCACACGGCACACGGCACACGGCACACGGCACACGGCAGACTTCAGAGTAACATTCACACATATAGTATAGACAACAGAATGCTAAAAGATAGCTGTTTACAACATAATTTAAACCAAAATTGAAATATGTAGCAATTATGTGCTGTATGTCCCTATAAAAAAAAAAGGAAATACTGTGCTGGGATTTAAAAAGTAATCACAGATGTTTTAGAAAAACAAGAACAAGAAGCCACAATTGAAAACCAAGATAAATAAATAGCAAAAGGACACTAGGAAATATTTTTTTCACTCATACAAGTAGTAGATGAGTAGAATGGTATACAAGAGACGGCAACAAGTATGAAAAATTAATGAGTGCAATACCGGCCAAATTAAAAATAGCCATGAGATATATTCATGAGAAAATTCTGTAAAAAGCTGTAAACAATATGTTAGAGCAAAATTAGAATAAGTAGCTGTGTCATGATTCCCACACTTACAAAAAACTAGTGGAAGAACAAGAACGTTCAAAAAGTCAAGAACTGAAGTTTATGAGAAGCCAAAAGCAACGGACATGCACTCTTGGACGGTGTGTATAAGTGGATAATTTGTGTGATGATCTATAATGTAGCTACAGTAGCAGAGCTAAACTCGTGGTGTCCCTTCTTCGGTATTAGGCATAGTGTAAAAAAAAATTAATGTCCACGATAGTTACAGCGATTTCTGCTTCCTCTTGTAGATCTACCATTCCCTTGATCTACCACTCTGTGTGTGTGTGTGTGTGTGTGTGTGTGTGTGTGTGTGTGCGTGCGTGCGTGCGTGCGTGGTGTGTGTGTGTGTGTGTGTGTGTGTGTGTGTGTGTGTGTGTGTGTGTGTATTTGTAGCTATAAGAGCAGAGTTATATTTGTGGTGTCCGGTCTTCAGTAATTAATTCATCATATATATTTTATATAATTTACAAGGGTTGTTGGTCTTGCTACGTCCTGTTTTATATTCTATTACATTGTTCCATCACTCTGACAAAAAGACTTTCTATTATCCTGTTTCCCTTTCTTTTCCCTGATTATATAACTCTTCTCTTGTTTTTTCCTATTGAAGGTACTAATCATTTTTGCCTCTTATTGTGATATCCTTTTTGTGATCTTGTGTGTGGTTATCGTGTGTATCTATTTTTTCCTCTGTTTATCAGAGATTTATTATAACTTATATTTTAATATATATATATATATATATATATATATATATATATATATATATATATATATATATATATATATATATATATATATATATATATATAGCTCAGGAAGCCATTGTATAGTTCTCTGATAGACGTATCCTTTATTCACTACATTTATTTTAGGTGTGGACACCACACAACCACAGTACATTCCAGTTTTGGCCTAAAATACATTATGTACAGCTTTTTATAGCCTTCCTCCATCCATATATCCGAAAGCTACAATATAGCTTGCTAGCATAGAGTATGAGTTTCCAACAGTTTCGTTTAATATGACCTTCCAGTGACAATCTTGTGTTGTGTGATGACTCCTGGGTCACCTCTCTCTCTGATGTCCTTAATATCTTGTCAGTCACAGTCACATTGTGTGTCTGTAAGTGTGCATGTGCGTGTGTGTGTATAAATGCACTGTGTGTGTTTTACCTACATGTACACTCACACAAATGATTAACTAGACTGTCTAGAAAATTTTCAATATCCTTTTCCTCTGGTGCAAAAAAAAAAGTTAAAATGTATAGATGTAAATAAAAGGTAAATAGATAAGAGTAAACAAAAGCATTATAGATGTACTGTATATAAATACTTCATATAGTACAGTATATGTATATATATTATATATATATATTCGGTAAATTTTTTTAAGAGGACTTAATTTTTTAGTGGCAACCTCACCTTTATATATGAAGCAAGCATTATTTTTTTTCACTTAGAGATAAACAGTAAGGCAGCGTGCACTGTATCGTGTAGTGTATTACACTTATTGATTAAGCTTTACAGATGTAAGTTTTCCTCTCCTCTGGAAATATCAGAGTTTGTAAATTTTTTGTTAAATTGATAAAGGACTTGGGATGTCATAATTTACACTAAAACCTGCACTAAACTCATGTCTAAGTATTGAGTCACAGGTAGAGAGTAAGATTGTAGATACTGGTTCAGAGAACCGACAGGCTGACGAATTAGACACTCGTGCAACACTTGGGTATCTTTCCCGTGGAAACGTTTCGCCATCCAGTGGCTTCCTCAGTCCAGTACAGAGAAGAGTGGTTGAAGATCGGAAGGAGTTCAGTCCTTCTGCCTGGAGTCCATATATTCAGTCCTGCAATCATGAAGGACCGAACACACAGACTCCAGGCTGAGGGACTTACTACCTCAAACTCCTTCTGATCATCAACCACTCTTCTCTGTATTGGACTGAGGAAGCCGCTGGTGGGCGAAACGTTTCCACAATAAAGATACACCCAAGTGTTGTACAAGTATATAATTCATCAAAAAGTAAGATTGTTCTCTTTAATGGTCCTACTACTATTACTACGTTTGTAACCTTAATTAATGTTAATATTTAATGGTGATCTGTCCATGTGGAGTGTTGTCTAGTGTTGTCTTTTTTATGTTAATATTATTTGTTCAGAAGCTAGTGTTGACAGTAACGATTTTAAAAGAAGCATAAAGTGTATAAACACTCTTGTTTTCATTAATCTATCTTTATAATTTTGTATCAGAGTGGTGCATTATTGGCTTATAATACAACTTACATTGTATATATATATATTATATATAATATATATAATATATATATATATATATATATATATATATATATATATATATATATATTATATATATATATATATATATATATAATATAAATATATAATATATATATATATAATATAATATAAATATATATATTATAAATGTTTTGTTTTGTTTAATGTACACAAAAAGTCACTAAGTGATGATTTTGCAGTATTGAAAATAGTAAAAAAATGTTGCCTTTCTTTTTAAAATGGCTTTTGTTATTTTAACATTTCAAAGTAGCGGCAGAGTGTTTGTGTCAGCTTATAAATCAATAGACCTCAGTCCTTGTGCCATTTAATATTTATTAGTTTTGACTCTTTGTAAAAGATCTTGTATTACTAATTAATTAAGTACTCTCTTATTCTTTAATTTTAGAGAATTTTTTTTCTTGTGTAAATTAAGGATCATGGATGATTTTTGTTTGATTTATAGAATTTCTTATTACAGATTAAGTATTACATGTTTTTCTAAAACAGCCATTATTGATGAATCAAAGAATTAAGGGAGTAGTGGTGTTGATTAAGGCGTTGATGTATTGGTAGCTATATAACTGATGATGTAGTGAAGGGCAGAGTAGAGTTGGTGCAGTAGTGTTCATTATGTAGCGATGGCATGTGTGTGTGTGTATGTGTGTGTGTGTGTGTGTGTGTGTGTGTGTGTGTGTGTGTGTGTGTGTGTGTGTGTGTGTGTGTGTGTGTGTGTGTGTGTGTGTGTGTGGCTGACAGTGTCCACCCCACCCTCTTGCAGCTGTGTATCCTGCTCCCGTGTATGGCCAGTACGCCCAGGCGCCCTCACCCCAGCTGGCGCCCATCCCTCACAACAAGGTTGAAGGTAAGACAACCACATGTCCACCCACCCAAGTCCACGCCCTTATCTCATTCTTATCTTGTGTAATTCTTAAGAAAATTATTAAATTGAGCGCTTTCCTGGATGACACGGTAATTCAAAGATCTTATAAAATTAGTTTTGCAATTTAACACTATTTTAATGATCCTGGAAGGAATTGGGTGAAGGTTGTGGATTGGGAAGATAGTAATTGTTAGTTAATGAGCTGGTGCCTCTTCCTGCCCAACTGAATGAGCTGGTGCATGACTTATATGCCCATATATCTTCCCACCTGCATGACCCATGCATGTCTGAAATGCTGTGTGTGTCTTGTCCCTTGTTCTTTGTATATGGAGACGTGTTTTATTTACCGAATGTGTTTTTTTTTTTTTTTGCTCAAACCATAAGATATTCTGAGTGGTGAGGTTGATGTTAGTTAAGTTAGCCACACAGAAACACCTGAAATCAGGTTCAGTTATATGCACATTCCTAGTTATGTCCTTCCCGTGGGCAAAACATTCTCATTTTAAAAATCTGCAATTAGGAATAGCATTAAAATACCACTTAAAATATATGTTACAGAAGTACCCCCTCCCCCTCATTTTAATTTTGAAACCATTTCTTGTATAATGTAAGAGAAGTGGGTGATGTTTGTGCATGATACCGTAAAGCACTGACTTGCATGGTTAGTTAAACTACAGTCCATGGGATGTGCCAATTGATTTATATTTTTATGTTTAATTTTCAGTACTAAAGGACTAGATTATTCCTAATTAATTTTCTACTCCAGAAATCCTTTTTTTAATTATTGTCATTCAGATTTCCCACTTGCCAAAATATCCTTGTACAAATAAAAGATTTCTCTGTGGCATAGAAAGGGGATCATCTTTCATTGCAAGTGAGTAATGCTTTCACAAATGTTAATGAATTCTTTAATGTATTCAAAATACTGATGACCTTTATATTTGCAGTTTTAATTCCCTCCTGTGTATAGTTTAGTTTTGACATATCGGATTACTTCTCCATGCTGTACATTAGTGTCCCTTAAAACTCTTGGTTTATTATATATATTTGCTTTGTACATAATGTTTCTATAAGCAGCTGTATTATTAATGTGAAATACTGGCAACAGATGACAATTAGTAGAACATTTAAGAAAACAAGAACCTGTAGGGTTATACGATGCATCGCTCACGTGTATTGAACTTTCTAGTGTGAATCCAGGAAATTAATGGCATTTGGGCCCCCATATCCACATCCTACTGAACAGAACAACGTCAAGCTAACACACCTGGGTAACTAAATATCGACATTCTCTGGGTAGGTGAGCACTGCAGGAGGTCCACCGTCCCTACCACACTTGATTCACCAGTCATCTCTCCAACCTCACCAGACGCACTCCTCTTCTTCCTAAATAATTAAAAACTTATCTTTGATATTCTGTTCACTTGAGAAAATTCACTAAGAGTGATCGAAATATTGTGTACTTCTATAAATTAGGATAGTTCACTTTTATAACCCTCTCGTCATTGTCTTAATAGTTTTCCTGCAGGTATTACTATTATTATAATATTATTATTATTATTATTATTATTATTATTATTATTATTATTATTATTACTTTTATAAATTATTATTATTATTATTATTATTATTATTATTATTATTATTATTATTATTATTATTATTATTATTATTATTATTATTATTTTTATTATTATTATTATTATATTATCATTATTATTATTATTATTATTATTATAATATTAAATTTTTATATAAAATTATTATTATATAATAAATATTATAAAATTATTATTATTATTATTAAATTATATTAGTGTTGTATTAGCATCATAATAATTATTATCAGTGAAACAGTATAGTCATCATTAACCCGGAAATAGCGACAATAGTCTCGACAACAATTAAATACAGTTTTATTATTTTACAAGACCATAACATAAATTAGTTCGAACAGTATTAATGAGCGACGGTAATTTAGAAATTCATGAAATTCACTATAGCAGTTAAGACCCAGTCATGCACTGCAGCAGTTACGACCCAGTCATGCACTGTAGCAGTTAAGACCCAGTCATGCACTGCAGCAGTTACGACCCAGTCATGCACTGCAGCAGTTAAGACCCAGTCATGCACTACAGCAGTTACGACCCAGTCATGCACTGCAGCAGTTACGACCCAGTCATGCACTACAGCAGTTACGACCCAGTCATGCACTGCAGCAGTTACGACCCAGTCATGCACTACAGCAGTTACGACCCAGTCATGCACTGCAGCAGTTACGACCCAGTCATGCACTACAGCAGTTACGACCCATCATGCACTGCAGCAGTTACGACCCAGTCATGCACTACAGCAGTTACGACCCAGTCATGCACTGCAGCAGTTACGACCCAGTCATGCACTGCAGCAGTTACGACCCAGTCATGCACTGCAGCAGTTACGACCCAGATCATGCACTGCAGCAGTTACGACCCAGTCATGCACTGCAGCAGTTTTCGGACCCAGTCATGCACTGCAGAAGTTTCGACCCATTCATGCACTGCAGCAGTTACGGCCCAGTCATGCACTGCAGCAGTTACGACCCAGTCATGCACTGCAGAAGTTACGACCCAGTCATGCACTGCAGCAGTTACGACCCAGTCATGCACTGCAGCAGTCACGGGCCCAGTCATGCACTGCAGCAGTTACGACCCAGTCATGCACTGCAGCAGTTACACCCATCATGCCCCTGAGCAGTTACGACCCAGTCATGCACTGCAGCAGTTACGACCCAGTCATACACTGCAGCAGTTACGACCCAGTCATACACTGCAGCAGTTACGACCCAATCATGCACTGCAGCAGTTACGACCCAGTCATGCACTGCAGCAGTCACGACCCAGTCATACACTGCAGCAGTTACTGACCCAGTCATGCACTGCAGCAGTTACGACCCAGTCATGCATGCAGCAGTTACGACCCAGTCAGCACTGCAGCAGTTACGACCCAGTCATGCACTCAAGCAGTTACGGCCCAGTCAATGCACTGCAGCAGTTACGACCCAGTCATGCACTGCAGCAGTTACGACCCAGTCATGCACTGCAGAAGTTACGACCCAGTCATGCACTGCAGCAGTTACGGACCCAGTCATGCACTGCAGCAGTTACGACCCAGTCATGCACTGCAGCATTACGACCCAGTCATGCACTGCAGCATTACGACCCAGTCATGCACTGCAGCAGTTACGACCCAGTCATACACTGCAGCAGTTACGACCCAGTCATACACTGCAGCAGTTACGACCCAGTCATACACTGCAGCAGTTACGACCCAGTCATGCACTACAGCAAGTTAACCCAGTTCATGCACTGCAGCAGTTACGACCAGTCATACACTGCAGCAGTTACGACCCAGTCATGCACTGCAGCAGTTACGACCCAGTCATGCACTGCAGCAGTTACGACCCAGTCATGCACTGCAGCAGTTACGACCCAGTCATGCACTGCAGCAGTTACGACCCAGTCATGCACTGCAGCAAATTACGACCCAGTCATGCACTGCAGATTACGACCCAGTCATGCACTGCAGCAGTTACGACCCAGTCATACACTTAGCAGTTTCGACCAGTCATGCACTGCAGCATTACGACCCAGTCATGCACTGCAGCAGTTACGACCCAGTCCCTGCACTGCAGCAGTTACGACCCAGTCATGCACTGCAGCAGTTACGACCCAGTCATGCACTGCAGCAGTTACGACCCAGTCATGCACTGCAGAAGTTACGACCCAGTCATGCACTGCTGCAGTTACGACCCAGTCATGCACTGCAGCAGTTACGACGAGTCATACACTGCAGCAGTTACGACCCAGTCATGCACTGCAGAAGTTACGACCCAGTCATGCACTGCAGCAGTTACGACCCAGTCATGCACTGCAGCAGTTACGACCCAGTCATGCACTGCAGCAGTTACGACCCAGTCATGCACTGCAGCAGTTACGACCCAGTCATGCACTGTAGCAGTTACGACCCAGTCATGCACTGCAGCAGTTACGACCCAGTCATGCACTGCAGCAATTACTGACCCAGTCATGCACTGCAGCAGTTACGACCCAGTCATGCACTGCAGCAGTTACGACCCAGTCATGCACTGCAGCAGTTACGACCCAGTCATGCACTGCAGCAGTTACGACGAGTCATACACTGCTGCAGTTACGACCCAGTCATGCAAATGCAGCAGTTACGACCCAGTCATGCACTGCAGCAGTTTTCGACCCCAGTCATGCACTGCAGCAGTTACGACCCAGTCATGCACTGCAGCAGTTACGACCCAGTCATGCACTGCAGCAGTTACGACCCAGTCATGCAATGTAGCAGTTACGACCCAGTCATGCACTGCAGCAGTTACGACCCAGTCATCACTGCAGCAGTTACGACCCAGTCAAAGCACTGCAGCAGTTACGACCCAGTCATGCACTGCAGCAGTTACGGGCCCAGTCATGCACTGCAGCAGTTACGACCCAGTCATGCACTGTAGCAGTTACGACCCAGTCATGCACGAGCAGTTACGACCCAGTCATAGCGACCAGTACACAGTCAATGCACTAGCACGTTAGCGACCAGTCATGCACTGCAGCAGTTAGCGACCCAGTCATGCACTGCAGCAGTTAGCGACCCAGTCATGCACTGCAGCAGTTAGCGACCCAGTCATGCACTGCAGCAGTTAGCGACCAGTCATGCACTGCAGCAGTTAGCGACCCAGTCATGCACTGCAGCAGTTAGCGACCCAGTCATGCACTGCAGCAGTTAGCGACCCAGTCATGCACTGCAGCAGTTAGCGACCCAGTCATGCACTGCAGCAGTTAGCGACCCAGTCATGCACTGCAGCAGTTAGGACCAGTCATGCACTGCAGCAGTTAGCGACCAGTCATGCACTGCAGCAGTTAGCGACCCAGTCATACACTGCAGAAGCTAGCGACACAGTCATGCACTGCAACAGTTAGCGA